AAAAATTAACAAGCAATAATATTCCGAGTAGAGGTTCTAGTAGTGGCACAAATCAAGTTACAGAGGGAAGGTGGTTCTTAGAATAAAAGGCCTATAGACTAGCACTTTGTCTATTATAGTGTAGAAGTTAGGAACCACAAGATGTAGAGGCTCAGCTATGTCACTTATGCTTCTTAAGTCCTGGAGCAAATTCCATCTACCACTGGGCTGTTTTTAAATGCATAAATCTTTTTTCCTTGAAGAAAAACTAAAATTTGGGAATAAAAAGTTTCTCACAAATATCCAGAATCATTTGAAATTGAATTTTATAAAAGATTGTTTTGGGGACCTCTGGTGGCCTAGTGGCAAGAAGCTGCACTGCAATCCCAGAGGTACACAGTTCAAATCCACCAGATGTTCTGTTGGAGAAGGAGGGGCAGTCTGCTCCTGTACCAGTCAGATCCTATTTGACGGTACACACACAAAAAAAATAAGAAGATTGAAGAAAAAATTATTTTTTAAAAAATTGTTTTGACTAAATATTAGTCATTTATAGTTTCTTTCCACCCATCTTACTATTTGGTAAAACACAGTAGCAAGATACATGCTTATATTTTGAAGATAATTTTTTTTAATTGCACCAGACTTCCTTAAATCTAAGGTCCTTAAGAGCTTAAATCTAAGACAGAGTTCCTGATCCAGAATCCTTCTCTCTGCACCTTAACTCAGAATCTTTACACAATCCTTACATAATTGCTGGGTCCTTGTTGCTATGGAAATGTGGAAACATAGGAGATTAGGAATCTTTTACCTCTAAGGAGTTTGGTAACTAGACATATGTGACTAGAAGATTATATTGAGACAATTAAAACATACTTACAAGCAAAAATAAAACTGAAGTGGTTGTCTCCTTCCTCTAGGTCTTACTTTAACTTTTTGTTGTTATTTTTTTCCCCTATTGTAACAGATATTTGAGAGAGCTCAGTATTGGGCTCTGTATTGATTAAGAAATACAGTTTTGTACTCCACTATGCAACCTTAATTTTGGACTCTTGTGATAACCATAATACCCTATCATATATCGCTTTTAAACTGTTCTCTCCCTCATCTGTTTCAATGCAGTATACATAATTTAGGGAGAAAAGTGCAACAATAAATGAATGGAAATCCAAAATCGCTGTAAATGTTCATTAAAATTAATAAAATAAAATTTTATAAAATGGAAAAAAGAAATGAAAAATCAGAAGTAGACATGCTCAATGACATCTTGTGCTGAAGGAAGTGTTTTCATAAGTGATTTCAAGAGAAAAATGCACTATTTTTAAATTACGATAAAATAGGCAACAGAATCAGAAATTGTGAATGTGCTTAAAAATGTAGTTTATAAGAATGCATGAACTTCTTTAAATTGTGTCTGATCAATTTCAACATTTTTCTGCATTAAATCTGGATTTTCTAAAGTGAAAAAAAAGAAATACAGTTTTGGTGAAAAGAAGCAAAAGGAATGTATTTCTGTCAAGTATGAAAAGGGAAAATAAAATAATACTGAAATAGCAGAAAAAGAAAAATACTATAATTATGACACTTCTGTATAGTGCAACACATTATTACCAGTATGAAAAGTTAAGTGGCAATATTTGCTCTAAATTAATTAAGTAGAATATGAATAATTATGGTGTTAAACCCCAAAGTTAAGAATATTGAACCTAACACGGATTATGAATAAATGATTCATTATCATTGACCTTGAATTTTATGCTGACTGTTCAGTGTTAACAAGGCTAATGAATGGTTAAATACTGACTTAAGTCCAGGACTATTGGCTTCCTGTTTAATGTTTATTCTATATTTCTGTACTCCTACATAAATCCCTTGAACACAGTACACCTCCTTTTTGATAATTAAAGTTGAAGAAGGGACTTACACAATTTTTAGTGAGTTTTAGAGAGGAAAATTAAGATTTTTTTTTTCCTCTTTAATTTATTCTAACATCTAATGAGCACCTATTGTTTGTTTTATATATTGTTGATTAATATGAATAAGACATGCACTTAAAACATTCAAAAGTTCCTGGTCTAATTATTAAAGAGCCAGGCATGCAGACAAATTACAGTGTATGAGAGCTATTGCAAAGAAATGAGCAAAATAATATGCAAGTTACTCTAATTGGGAAGATTAGCTAGTGGAGATAACATTTATGTTGTTCCTGAAAGACAAAGTTACATGACTGACAGAAACACTGCTTTTCTTTAACTTTGAGAATGCAGCCAGAGTAAAGAAAGGCTGGTAAGCATGTGGTTGAATTGTGAGATGAGAAACTGGAGAAGATGTAAATTAATGCTATACCCTGATTGTTTTTTTGGTTGTATCCTGTTGATTCCACACTTAATAAGCCTTATGAATGAGTAGAGTTCCGTAGTCTGTATGTAGTCTTTACAGAAGCAGGTCACCAGTTGTTTTTTTCTCCAATAGATATTGTCAAACTTTGAGTTATTAGCGAAGTGTTATAATCATTTTGCCACTAAAGCTCCTAACAGATTGGTCCTTATGTGCTCTCCAGCCAATAGCTGACCCTCGTGTGGGTTTTCAAAGGTATAAATCACATGGAGAGAGAGTGCGCATCCTTCTACCTTCTTACCACAAGGCCACCAGTTCTCCCAGTACTTATTGAAATAGTACAAAAACCATTAATTTTTGCCTCGGATAACTTAGAATGAGTGAGCTGTAACAATTACTTATCTGTTTGACTTTTGACAACAATAGTCAATTCTTATAGTTCTAAAATAGTAACAAGTGATAACAAAATTTAAAAATTTAAAAAAAAAACCCCAAACTGATGGCTGCTGGGCTAATTTGAGTTTGTAGATTGGGACAGTGCAAAGTTCTCCTTTGAGAATTTTTTTTTTTTTAAATTTTTATTTTTATTTTGTGTGCGTGTACCGTCAAATCAGATCTGACTGGTACAGGAGGATATTGCGCCTCCTTCTCCGGCAGAGCATCTGGTGGATTCGAACCGTGTTCCTCTGGGAGTGCAGTGCAGCTTCTTGCCACTAGGCCACCAGAGCTCCCCTCCTTTGAGAATTTTTAGCACTTGATTTTTATTTGTAAGCTACTGGCTTCATTTGTAAGTGACTGGCTTCATTTTTTTTTCTTTTGCTTCTTACAGACTGGTTGGTACAACCTGTCTAGCACTTGACTGCTAACAAATTGGTGGATCAAACCCACTCAAATGTGCCTTTGCAGACAGGAAGGCCTATTAACATACTTCTGAAATGTCACGACCTTGAAAATCTTTTGGAGTAGTTCTACCTTGACGTGTGGGATTGTCATGGGTCAGATTTCGTGTGGGTAGGGAGTTGTACTGCCAACCCATAGGTGGCTGATTTGAATCTACCGATTGCTTTAAGAGAGAAAGATAGGTAGTTTCCTCCCATGCATTTTGCAGCCTCTCCAGAGCCCCGGAGGGTCAGCTATGAGTTGATGGCAATGAGTAAGTAAGTAATGTTACTCAAAGGCAGGTTGAGTCAGCATAGCCACCTTTTAAGAGAAAGTAGAACTACTACATAGGGTTTCCTTAATGGTAGTCTTTAGAGATTAGCTGGTGGGTATGAGTCATTGACCTTTCAGTTAGCAAGCTGAATGCTTAACCCCTGCACCACCAGGATTCAGCAACACTTTATAAGCTTTTTTTTTTTATATTTTCTAAATTTATAGTTTCTGCAACTCTGATCTGGTCCTAGCCTTTTTTTCTTTGTAAAAAAAATCATTGTTACACATTTTCTTCACACACACACATACACACATCCCATCCATTCTGCAATGCATCCCTTGTTCTAGATTGTTGTCATACATATAATGTCTAATCATGTATTAGTCCTTTTGGACTGTTCTTCCCCTCATCTGTTTTATTTAAGTGTCCTTTTTCTATCCAGTCTTTTCCCATTCTCTTCCAACCTCTGCAACCTCTCCGTGTCTGTATTATTTTATAAGTGGTATTATGCAGTATCTGTCCTTTTGTGACTAAGATATTTCACTCAGCATAATGTCTTTTGGTCTCACTCCTGTTACCTTTAACGAGTTCGTTGTTTTTCAGTGCTGCATAATATTCCATTGTTTGTGCGATCATTTTCCTGTCCATTTGTTTTTTGATGGGCACTTGGATTGCTTCCATCTCTTTGCTGTTGTGAATAATGCAGCATACACATGGGTGAGCATACGTTTATTTGAGTCGTGGCTCTGGTTTCTTTAAGGTATATTCCCAGTATTGGTACTGCTAGGTCAACTGATAATTCATTACCAACTTTTTGAGAAAGTGCTATTACCACTTTCCATAGTGGTTGTACCATTTTACATTGCAACAGTGACTAAGGGTTCCAAACTCTCCACAATCTTACCAGCATTTGTTGTCTGCTGTCCTCTTGAACTTTGCTATTGTTACTGGGATGAAGTGATACCTCATAGTTGTTTTGTGATCCTAGCCTTTTTTTTTCTTTCTTTCTTTTTTGATTGTGTGTGTGTGTGTGTGTGTGTGTGTGTGTGTACCGTCAAATCAGATCTGACTGGTACAGGAGGAGATTGTCCCTCCTTCCCCAGCAGAGCATCTGGTGGATTCAAACCATGCGCCTCTGGGATTGCAGTGCAGCTTGCCACTAGGCCACCAGACCTCCCTGATCCTAGCCTTTTTGAGACTCTGTCCTACCCCACTGCCTTGGGAGGACTTTTATTGTTTATAGTATTACTTTTTCTTATCTGTTTATTACCTTTTCAGGGAGAACTTTCATAGTTTAGAGAAGTAAAAAAGACTGTGGGAATAGAGGAATGAGTTGGGAAAGGTTATGTTTTTCACTGATACCTCTTTACTCAAATAGCATGTCTGCTAGGAACTAGTATCTTCCCTTTCCTCTCTTCTGCCTTGAATCCCACTCTTACTCCTTGATTTCGTTTGCTGTACACGAGCCATCCAGAGGCCCCTTCCCTGAAAAAAGAAAGAAAATGGGACAAAAGAAATACAAAAGTTAGTGTCAAGTTAATTCTGACTCATAGAAACCCCATATGTGTCTGTAGAACTGTGATTCATAGAGAGCTTTTAATGACTGGTTTTTCAGAAGTAATTGAATGCCTTTTTTCTTAAGGGGCCCGCAGGTGGATTTGAACTACCAGCCTTTCCATTAGCAGCCAATGATTTATATCACCTAGAGACTCCTAATTAGATATAAAATAAAAATATGCACAATGACTTATTACTTATATAAGTCTTATATAAGTAATGACTTATTACTTATATAATACTGGTTTTAAAAGCTAAATGAGATTAAATGTGGAAAATAGCATATTGTATTCCATAAAAGTACTTAACTTTCCATATTTCCTTTTTCTGAGGTAAATGTGAATGAAAAGTAGTAGTAGTGGCAAGAAAAGCTATATTTTTCACAATACTTCTGTGCCAGTGACCCATTCTTGGCATAAAATTACATCACAGATAAACAAATTCTGCTTTATATCAGATGTCAGTCATTGAACATCATAAGAACTACATGGATTCTGTTTCAAAGAGACACACGATAATTGCAAAAAAGCTTTTGTCAAAAAAAAAACTATTACTAATTTGTTGGGTGGGGGGAAGAAGGAAATTGAAAGAATCTGTTCTTGAAAACAGTGTATTGAATTTTGTAAATTAAGTAGTAGAAAAGTAAAAAAAGAAAAACTACAAACTGTCCACTTCTATAGGAAAACTGCAGCAATTTTTATTGAATTACATTTTAAACTTTTATCTCTGAGCCATTACCTGTTTCATTTGCAAGTTTATTCTCTCTTACAATTTAAAGTTGTAATTATTGTTTTGAAAAATTGCTAATATAATTCCTGAAGTACTCTCAATTGATAATTGCTTCTTAATATCTTGTTAATTTTTAAATCAGAGATATTAGATTTTATAAAGCACCAATATCTAATATAAGCACTAATATAGTAGTTGCCGGCTTCTTTTTCTTTTTCCCTAACTTTCTTAAAGTGATGGAAAGCCTTGGGATCCCAGAAGACAGTACATACTTTTTTCCACAAGCCTTCTTGGGATTCATGGATATTTTAACTGCTTATGGATCACAGATTAAAAACTACCTATGGGTCTATTGCTGGCATATATTAGAGTTACATGTTAATAAAATAGCTTTTATTCAAAGAAATTTTGTCTTGTCTTTAACCTGAATTACACAGGAGTTCAGGAATATCTTAGTAGAAGCAATAAAAAGATAGGCTTCATGTAAACACTGAGTAAAACTAACATTCTGTTTTCGCTTTATTAAATATTAGCACCAGTAACTCCAGATAGTGGTTATTCATCAGCCCATGCAGAGGCCACCTATGAAGAAGACTGGGAAGTATTTGACCCGTGAGTTTAGTTTTTGTTTTGTTTCTCTGTTTTATAGCAGATTGAGATTATAAATGTCGATGAAAGATTGAACTGTTTATAAGAGCATGTGACCTGTATGTATTAATACTTGATACCAAGTTACTGAGTTTCTAATTTTTAGATTTCTAGTTTTATTTAATTGTTTTAGGTGTTTAATATACTAAATTAAATGTATATTCTTCTACCAAAGATTTAAAGATAGGCTAAATGTAACAGTATGTTTTATATTTATAAAAGGGAAACAATGACTTTTCCTTAATATTTGGTTTATAGGTATTATTTTATCAAACATGTTCCACCACTAACAGAAGAACAGCTAAATCGGAAACCTGCTCTTCCATTGAAAACAAGAAGCACACCAGAATTTTCCCTAGTTTTAGACCTGGTAAGTGAATTGTCTGTAGAGAATCCTCATCCAAACAAAACTCACCACCATCAGTTGATTCCAAGTCATAATGGCTCCACAGGACAGAGCTAGGCCCCATAGGGTTTCTAAGGTGTTATAGAAACTAGCTATCATGTCTTTCTCCCTTGAAATAGCTGTTAAGTTCAAGACACCAACCTTTTTGTTTAGCAGCTGATCATTTGATCACTATGCCCCCATGGCTCCTTATAGAAACCAAACCTCCTGCTTTCAAGTCGACTCTAAACAACCCCATTTTGTTATTATTGTTATGTACAATAAATTATAACTACAACTCATAGTCACTCTGTAAACAACAGATCATAACCTTGTATAGGATAAAGTAAATTGCCGCATAGAGTTTCTAAGACTGTAAATCCTTATAGGAACAGATGGGGATCTTTCTCCTTCAGGGCAGCCCGTCGGTTCAAACTGCTGACTTCAGTTAACAGTTCAGTGCTTAACCCAGTGTACCAGCAGGATTTCTGGTAGAGAAGAATAAAAACTCAGACTTGCTGTTAATGAGTCAGTTCTGACTCATAATGATCTTCTAAGGCTATAAAACATAAACAAGAGGAGATGGCACATAATTTCTCCTGAGTTACTACTGCTAGTAGATTCAGACTGCTGAGTTAGCACAGTTTACCATGGATTACTGTCCATAGTGTAGCTGTCAAGAGTGCCCTATATGGAGGTGAAAAGAAGGATTAAATTCTTAATTTAAATTATAGTAAAAAAATACCTAAGTGAAAATAACATATAAATATCTGCATAGCATGAATTTATCATAAATATGTCCTATTGTTATATGCTGTCAAGTTAGAACTGAACCTCCTATGAATTTTTAGAGACAGTTTAATTGCATAAGAGGAGATTGTCCATCCTTCCCTTGCAGAGCAACAGGTGAATTCAAACTGTGCCTTTAAATATGTTTTTGGTGATCTGAAATTTTTATTTAAGCATACATGATTGGAAGGGTAGGAAACGAAATATTGAAGCAATTAATGCAGTTGCTTCTTACGCATCTGAAAGTAGGCCTATGAATAAGGAAGACTGAAGAAGAATTGCTGCCTTTGAATTGTGATACTGGAGAAGAGTATTGAATATATCTTGGACTGCTAAAAGAACAAAGAAATGTGTCTTGAAAAAAGTGCAAGAATGTTCCTTAGAGGCAAGGATGGTGAAACTTTGTCTCATACAATTATTGTCAGGCCAGTCCTTGGAAAAAGACATCCTGGTGACAGAGGCCATGGATCAGAGAAAAGAGCAAGACTCTTAATGACATGGGTTAGCACAGCAACTACAACAAGTGGGCTTGAGCATGGCAGGAATTGTGAAGATGGCACAGGATAGGACAATTTTCGGATCTGTTGTTCATAGAACTGATAGGAGTCATAGTCGACTCAGAGACACCTAACAGGAGCAGCAGTGGAAGAGTTCTTAGTTTGTTTGATTTATCAGGTACACTGTGAAAATATACTGTTTTTTGCATGTATTTAGATTAGTTCTTTCCCTCATAGTCCTATGTTTGATTTGTTGGATTTTTCATATTCCAAGAAATCCTTACTGCATTTTGTTTGAAATCATGCTTAGATCTTGGATTTGTTTTCTACTTTGTCAGGATCATGTGTCCATAAAAGATCACATATAATCTGTATCTCAATGAGTAAAAGCATAATTCTCCTGTTCTTAACTTTGCATATTATCTAATCCCATTAAACTTTCTGTTAGAAAAAGTGTCAAAATCATAATCTCTTAATGCTGGCTTGTTTAAAAAAAATTCTTTATTTTTATAATATGTAATTCAATATTTGTATTTTAGACATCAACCAGCATCACTTTGGAAACAAAAATCTCATTGCTTTTGTTAATCAAATTTATTACATTTTAAACATTTGCCTATAATTTCCTTATATTAGAAAAAATTATTATATTAGAGTAAATTATGGTACTTAACATTTGATGTTGTACTGTATGGAATAATATTAATATCATAGGATTTTTGAGGGCTGCTATTCATTAGGTTTTCAGGGACCTGTTATTTCAGAAGTGGATACTTATTAGTCTGGAAGCTCCACTGAAACCAGTTCTCTGTGTGTGACCCTATTGGTATACGAAATACCAATGGTACAGCTTCCAGCATCACAACAATGGCACCACAGTTCAGCAAACTGACAAATGAAATCCATTTGTTCCCATTCCACAAAATGTTGATCCAAGGGAATGTGAAAATTACTAAACAATGTCATTAGTATCATGCACAAGTAAAATCTTGCTAAAGATTACTAATAAATAGCTGGAACAATACATCCACAGAGAATTGCCAAATACTCATACTGGATTTGGAAGAGATTGTGGAACAAGGGGTGTTCCTGATGTCAGAAGAATGTTGGCTAAAAGCAAAGAATACCAGGAAGATGTTTACTTGTGTTATATTGACTCTGCAAAGGTGTTCAACAAATCGAATATAATAAATAATGGATAACATTAAGAAGAATTGGAACTAAAGAACACTATGTGCATGCAAAACTAATACAGACATTTGAAGCAGTCATTTTGACAGAACAAGGGAACATAGTTTAAAATCAGGAACTTTAAAAAAAAATCAGGAACTTTGTTTAAGGATTGCTTTTATCCTTTTCACTACACCTAGTCAGTCTGTATTCTGAGCAAATAACTCAGTAAGATATATGAAGAAAAATGTGGCATCACAATCAGAACTCATCAACAAACTGTGTTGTATAGTTGACATAACCTTTCTTACAGAAAATTATGAACACATAAAGCACTTTACTGAAGATCAAAGAATACAACTTTTAATGTGGATCATACCTCTACATCAACAAAAATCCTTATCATTGGACCAATGGGTCACATGATAGAGAAAAAAGTTGAAGTTGTCAGTAACGTCATTTTATTTAGATTTGTAGCACTCTCATGGCAGCAGTATTCTAGAAATCAAAAGACATATTGTATTGGGCAAAACTGCTGCCAGGAACCCTTTCACAGTGCTAAAAAGATCAAAGATGTCAGTTTAAAGACTAAGGTAACCTGAACAAAGCTACAGTATTTTCATACTTTATACATCTGAAAGTTGGACAATGACTAAAGAGGATGGAAGAATTTGATAGCTTTGAATTATTGTGTTGGTGAAGAGGATTGAATATACTGTGGCCTGATGAAGAATAAACAAATCTTGTCGTGGAGGAAGTGCAACCAGTGTTTCACTTGGAGGTTTCACCTACTGGAGGTTCAGTAGGTGAAACTTCACCTTATATACTTTGGTCATATTGTCAAGAGGAACCAGGTATTAGAATAAAAGGAGAGTTTGTGAAAGAGAAGGGAGGAAGACCTTCAGTGAGATGACGTGATTGCAGCCTTGATGGGCTTGAGCATGGTGGAGATCTTGAGGATGGCACAGACTAGAGTTTCCATCTTGTGTTCATAGGGTCAGTTCAGTGGCACCTATCAACAACAGTTACTGTACAACTGAGACTAAGATTTAGTTCTTAGAAAATATACCTTTAGGTAAAGCATATTCTCTCAAACTTTTAAATAGTGTGTATAATTGTGGATTTCAAGTTTAGCATCATCTTGTTGTTTCTTTACCTTTTCAAGGATGTATAAAATAGTCCAGAAATCATTCAGTGCACAGTTAAGACACTTTATTAGAGGGTAAATGGAAAGAGAAAATTTTTGAAGCTGATTTTCAGTAGTTCATATTTGATATGCAAGTTAGTAGAGACAGAGAAAAATGTTTTGCTGAAAATAATATGGCCGTGACAGTTTGATGAGTCAAATTTGTCCTCATACTCTTTAGAAACATATTGCTCAGAGTTGATTCAAAACTAAAAAACAAAGAAAAAATAAGAATTGACTGAATATAAATGAATAAAGTAGAATGATTAGAATGTTAGATATGTTGTGATAAAAGACGTGGTAAGAGAATATAGTATCTTGAGTATAATTTGATGCTATTGAAAAAAAAGACATATGTAGAGTACTTTTTGGCCTTTGCCGCCTTGGAGTTGAAGTTAAAATAAATATTCAGATTAGATGTGCTATCAAAAGGCATGTTTTCTTTTAAGTGTTAACTTAATGAGGTAAAAAAATTTTGTAATTTTTATTGATTGCTTATTTAGTTAAGCCAAAACCTAGGCCAGTCAAGTCTGTTCTGACTCATAGCGACCTGCCATTCAGTTTCCAAGGCTGTAAATCTTTAAGGGCGGATAGGTGGATACTACCCTTCTTTCTCCTGTGTAGATTTACACAGCCAAACTTGTGAAAAAATAAAGCCAAGCTTGTAAAGCAGCTTGATGCTTTACAAGCTATGCTGTTGGGGCTCATAAATTCAATTAAGTAAGATTTTTATGTCTATGAAATGTATTCATGAAATTCAAAGACATCTATTTCCCCAAAACAAGATATATTTTAAAAAGGTTTGAGAATGAGGAGCAGTGGGAGGATGGGGACCAGTGTAAAAGGAACTCTGGTACATATGGAGCAGTATCTGTAACATGTTTTATTGCCTGTCAAAAGAGTACATGTCTCCAGTGGTTTGAATCCCATCAGATGCTCTGAGGGAGAAAGATGGATACTCTCTTCCCATTAAGATTTTTATTTATAGCTTAAGAAACTCAAAAGGAATTTTGCTGCTGTGAATCAGAATCTATTTGATGGCAATTAGTGAGTACATATTTAAAAATTAGATTCTAGACTTGAATTTGCTTGTTGTTTAAAAAAAAAAACAACCCAGTAGTGTATGCATGTGGTTTTCTTACCAGAAAGTCGGCAACTACTGAACTCAGTATTGATTCTCAAATTTGAGCAAATAATCAGAATCACTTGAAAGATTCATGTAAATATTGATAGCTAGGCTCCGCGTCTATCCTGACATCGCCTCTCCTATTTTAATCATTAGAAATAAAGCTGGAACCTACAACTAGGAGACGATAAAATAGATGAATGGGACCTTAGGAATCAAATCCCTATGCAGATCCAAAAACTTCTCCCAACAGGCTAAAAAGGGAAGTCACAAACTGGGAAAAAGTATTTGGTAATGACATATCAGATAAGGGACTTATATCCAGAATTTATCAAATACTTGAGCACCACAAGATAAAGGTGAACAATCCAATAGAAAAATGGGCACAGGATATGAACAGACATTTCACCAAAGACAACATTCAGATGGCCAACAAGCACATAAAGAAATGTTCAAAATCCCTAGCTCTAAGAGAGATGCAAATCAAAACAACTATGAGCTATCATCTCACCCCAGTAAGAATAGCAAAATTTAACAGAACAGCAAGCAACAAATGCTGGCGAGGTTGTGGAGAAACTGGAACCCTTATTCACTGTTGGTGGGAGTGTAAAATGGTGCAACCACTGTGGAAGGTGGTATGACGCTTTCTCAAAAAGTTGCAAATAGAGATCCCTATCATTTGACCCAGCAATTCCACTACTGGGAATATACCCCAAAGAGACCGTACCCGCCACCCAAGCAGATATATGCATACCCATGTTTATCACAGCTTTGTTCACAATAGCAAGGAGTTGGAAACAACCAAAGTGCCCATCAAGAAATGAATGGATAGTGAAGCTGTGGTATATTCACACAATGGAATACTATGCTGCATTGAAAAACAAGGAACTCATACAGTATTATTCAAAATGGGTGACACTGGAGAACATTATGCTGAGTGATGTATCTCAGTCATAAAAGGACAAATATTGCATGGTGCCACTGTTGGTAAAATAGGACTGACATCAGGGTTGGTGGGAGACTGAGAAGAATGGGTTCAATAATGTATACTGAATTGAAACAGATAAGAGAGAAAACTGTTTAAAAGGGATATGTGCTTAGATATTTTGTCATAACAGGAGTCCAGAGTGAAGGCTGCATAGTGGAGTGGACCGGACCTGGGTGGGGGGAGGGATTGTAATACCATGAAAGAATTTTTCTTTTACTTTTCCAAGAGGGTGTTGTACTAGGGGAAAGGGTTGGGAGGGGAGAAAAGTACAACAGTGAATGAATGGAAATTTAAAGTCTATAAATTTTTACTGGAATTAATAATAAATATTTTTTAAAAAGAAAAAAAGCTGGAGAATTTACATTTCTCACTAGTTCTCATATGATGCACATGTTGCTGCCCTACAGATTGTGTTTTTTGAAGAAGTGACTTTAAAGTACCCATTCTGAATTGCTGTGGCCCAATTAATTATATATTATAAATGTAATATTCCTCATATAAAGGAGTGTTTAATAAATGTTAAAATTACCACTTGAACTATCTTTAGTATATTGGTTCATTTGGTATTTTTCTGTTTTAAGGATGAAACACTAGTGCACTGTAGTTTAAATGAACTAGAAGATGCAGCACTCACTTTTCCAGTCCTTTTCCAAGATGTCATTTATCAGGTAATTAAAAATTTTTTCTTAACGTGATATTTTGTAGTATTTTTCATTGAAGTTCAACGTATTTTTCTATTAATGAATTGCAGTGATTATTTTAATGACTTATTAACAAAAGGTAGCATCACTAAATAAGTATATAAAATTTTTGTTACTAACATTTTTATCCAAAGATCTCTGCTAGTTTCAAAATCTGTTTGCCAGCAGGTGGAGGCAGGAGCACTGACATCATAGATTCCAAGAGGAACTTGCCAGGCTTTTGTTTTTAAAAAAGTGAATTTATATAAAGAAAATGCATTCCTTGTTGGTTATTATATTGTTCTTAAAGTTACATGGTCTGTAGATTGCAGTTTGATAGGTCTCTCCTTATTAATTAAAAAATACTCTTCTGGCTATTTTTTTACCTAAGGACTTAGGTAGAAGCATCCCTTCCTCATATGTGCAGATGGACAAATAGTGCAGAATACAAATATTGTTAGTTTTTGCCAGCGGATTGTGTTTTGGGCATAGTTTTTACTTTGAGATTTTTCCATTTTTAGTAATAATTGATATAAGTGAATATTCTTTGAAAATGGCAGTTGCCTTTCTGTGCTGGTGATTGCATGATTTAGTTAGCTTTATTGTCATGCAGCTACTTTTTTAAGGTTTGTGTAAAGGTCAAAAAGTCTGTTGTCTGTCAGAAGGATACTTATTCGGGAGAATATAAAGCCGTAGAGCATTTACAGATCGATTATGAAAAGGTGTTTATAGTTGATTATATTCTTGTAGTAGACAGTGAGGTCTAGGAATATATTTACTATTTATTTTTTTTGACAGGTATCTTGGGAATCATAAAATTTTTAGAGTTAAACAGAAATTTGTGGAATTCAGGACCTACTTTACTTGTTTTATGTCATAGTTATAAGAGAACTTAATTTCAGTCATTGTCACAGTTTAACCTAGATATGTATTACAGGTAAGGTAGTACCTGAGTACTTACTTCCCTTTTATGGAAATAGATTTTAGTTTTTTATTAAATAGCTAAAGGATGAAATATTACTAAAAATGAGGGACTTTTGTGGTTTTGTATTCCTTTGTAACTGGTTGTTACTTGATTTAAGGTAAATTATTTTTTTAATGAAACAGTTCTTTCTATTGGAAAATTACACAGCTACCAAATAGAATGTTCTTGTTTAGTGCATTTCGAGAAAAGGGATCTTGTGGCAAATATGACTCTGATTTGATAAGTTTGTTTTCTCTTTAAAATTATACCCCAAAACAATGGCTCTAAGGCTTTGATTTTGCAAAGGAAAACTGATTATAAGTAATAGAGGTAAATAGTGATTTTGAGATAATGTCTTAAGCTTCAAGACTTGAGATGTTCCCTGTATATGGCTTCTGCTCTGTTTGTGTAATTTCATGTTGGAAAATAGAAGAGTCTGCTTCCTTTGTGAGCGGTCAGTTCTTTTCAGTATGACCATAAAATGAACCCCCCCCCCCCCCCCCGCATTACACTTCTATTTTCATCTTTTTATAGTTCTTTAGAGTTTATGTGGATCTGGATAGTTGTTTTGAACACTGCTGTTAGGAGTTTTTATGATTAATACTTGTAAAAACTGTATTTGGACTGCATGTCTGGAATTTAAACTTTTTTTTCTTACGTGTTTTAAGTTTGGCTCTCAGAAACTGAAAAGTAAATGATCAAGTCTACATCAGGAAAAGTAAGAAGGAAGTCTGAATGTTACAAGCTTTAGAGATGATTACGCTTTAATATGATTTGGGTTGTATGTCATGGACAGAGTTTAGTGTTCCTTCAGTAAATTTTTGAGGATGCTTATTGTCAATATTGGGTATATTTCTTTGGATTTCTGGTTTTGGCATAGCTCATTCTATCTGCTTTTTAAAAAGTAGCTTTGAAGAAATCTTTTGGTTAGGGCTCCCACAGTTTTTCGGACTAGCAAGCTCCCTTTAAACAGGGAATGATGTCTTTTAAACTTTCAGTGGTGTTGTCTCCATCTACTGGCAAAGAAGAAATATACACAAGGGTCTGAGATGATCTAAGAGATTATGGAGAAACAACATTAGGTAAGATGTAACTTAAATATTTAACCACTTAAATATAATGTGGCCCACTTAAAAGTAGAAATCTGTAAAATATTGTCTATACTCTTGAACATATCAGAAACAGAAAATAAAATGATAATGTTAAGATAGGATCAAGGATTCATTCACATTAATCAAATCAGAGCCAGATACATGGTCTCTTGGAACTTTATTTTTGTTCACTGTATATGCTAATTTTATTATAGCTTACCTAGATATAATTTTAATTGTAACATTTCTCTTTTATTTAAAAAAAAACACTTTAATGTGTCTAAGAAATGTTTTAATAATTGTTTATACCAAAGTTTGGCAAACTTCTTCTATGAAGGGCAAGATAGAATCATTTTAGGATTTGTTAGATAAGTGGGCTCTGTTGCAGATAACTTAACTCTGCCATTATAGTGTGCAAGCAACCATAACCCATATGTATATGAATAAAATCGCGGCTGTGCCCCAGTAAAATGTTACTTCCAAAAATAAGTGGTGGACTGAAGTTGACTCCTAAGCCAGAATATACTGGCTCCTGGTCTAGTAATTATGGAAGTAAATATATTAAATCTACATATTTGAATTCTGAGTGGAAGTATGTAATCACATGTTCATCAAAATTCTTATTATTAACAGAACGTTAGATCTGCAAGGATCTGATTGTAGCTCTCTTAGATTTTTCAGATCAAAGTTGAGTAAATTTGAGGGGCTATTACATTTAAAGACTGCCTGAATTCATGATGTTTACTCATCTTTTGAAGGGACAAAATTAACTAATACAAATCCTGGGATTTATAAAACAATAGATTACTCCAGCCTTAATTTAGTACATTGAGTATATTTTAATTTCCTAACTCTAGAGAGTAAATGACTAAAAGATTCATCTAAACTTAAAATTTTTAACTATAAATACTAAAATACTTGAAAGAACTGACTTCTTAAAATGAAGATTTTTGTTTGAGTATTTTTTCCCTTTAAATTGTTCCCACCCCTTCCCGTGATGTTTTATTATCAGTTAGTTGGAAATTCTATATATTCCTTGAATGGTAAAGTACATTTGCTATCTGGAAAAACAAGTGCATGATCAATCCCAAAGCACATGTTAAATATTTATATTGAACTTATGTTGACGCATTGTCAGGAAATCCATCTCGTGGTGTTGCTCGGTTAAGAGGTCTCCACTGTATTTAGTTTCTGTTCCTGCAGATCCACCAATTCAAGACTCTAGGTCATCTCACTCCCTCTTCCATCCAGAAGATGACTTCTATCCACAAGCAGGACTGAATCAAAAGACAGATTTTTCACTTAGCTCTTGTGCTGAATCACCTCCTCAATGACCTTCCTCTGTCTCCATCAACAACTGGAGCTCAGTTTTTGAAGATGTAATAGAACTACTTAGCCCAAAAGTGGCTAATTGAAGACAAAAGGAAGATGCCTCATGTTTCACCACAGTGCAACCAAACGTAACTGTGTTGTCCAACTCCTCATTCTGTAAAGTATGGCAGGGGCATCTCATTTTTGACTCTGTTCACCAATAAGACTTTAGCCAGTCAGTGGCTTTCTGAAGATCAGTAAAATCAACAAACTTTGGGTCAGCTGTCCAGAAATCAGATTGTGGTAAGCACTCAAGGAGTGACAGGGTCCTTTAGGGAGCTGCTTGCTAAAGGCTGCTTTGTTTTATTGTAGAGGTTGTTTTTGTGGGAGAAATTGTGGGGAGTGGTGGGTGGGATATCATGGTTAGCAAAGATTAGCCACTTCCACTTTATTATAGTGTGTTTATTTTTTTTTTTCCGGGAATCCTATAAGCATAGGATAATTTTCATAAGCATCTGGGTGGGGAAAAGTGAAAGATCAATGGCTTCTGTCTCTTTTAAATAGTCTTTCTTAGGAAAGTCAATATTATTTTGTACTTTATGAAGGGAAAAAGCAATCACTTGAATGAAGAGTTTGTAATAAATATCTAATCAGGTTATCCCTTAAGTTCTTAAATTGCTGCTAACCTGGAGACATTTTGTTATTGACTTTCATAAAGCATAATTTTGTTGTACAAAAATATGTATGTGCCATATGTTTGAAATCTTGGGCACCAAGTACTCAAGAAAGATGTAATGTTTTAGCTAGTAGAGAAAAGTATTGTGTGTAGTTAATTTTAGATAAATAGTAAAATCACAAGTAGTTTTAAATAAATTTTCTCATCTTTATTAGCAGATACAGTTATTGATACTAAATTTCCCTTCATAATTATTCATTATTAACTTCTGGTTTTAAAAGGAAAGGTATAAATGAGACTTGTCATCTACTACTTAAAGATAAAGAGAATGTATTTCATGGGGAATTCTTTGTTTTAAAATATCTTAATATTAGAAGCATTTCATGAAGCAAAAAGAATATACTTGGAAAGTTCTTTTACCATCTGAAAATATTATGTAAATTTAAAAGATGGCTGGTTACTACCCATATTAAATTGAAGACTTCATTCAATGTGAAGTTTCAAATTTGTTTTTTCATTTTATTAAAATGGCCGGGTTTTGTTTGCCAAAAGATGATAATTATGCTTCATGCCAGCTTTTTCATATCATCTATATGAATACATTAAACTATAGTTACTCTTACTTGGAGTCCTTTAGAAATGTTTTTCAAATATATTTTTGCTTGATATAGGATAAGGTTTTGCAGAGTTTTTTAGTTTGGTGAGTTTTTGTTTTAGTCTTTTAATTCTAGTTTTTGTTTAGTATTTACCCGTTCATTCCTAGATTTATCCACCTACAAATACTATTTCCAGCAGCCATCTCCCCAATTACTCCAATTCAGCCAAAAAAATTACTATTAAATCACTCAATAAGGTCCTGTTTTCTTACTTTCAGAAGCATAGATTATAATCCTAAAGTTTTTTTCTTGCTTATTTCTGCCCCATGAGATCATACTTATTTCAGTAA